CTGCAACCCTACCTTAAGCCACCAAAACACCTTCAGCTTTCGAGCCCAGTAAGATTAAAGTGTCCACAAAAAGCAACCAGTGCTGGAGCTAAGGTAAAAACCCTGAACAGGAGCCTCGGCTTCTAAAACCCCAAGTCTACGCAGAGGACTGGACTCCGCTGTTCGAGTCACACGTGATCTGGACCGTGTACGGAATCTGCCCTGGGGAGGCCGAAGGGCTTTTGAGGCTTACAAGGGGATGCATATAGGGCAACCCTGCATTCCCTGCCTGGGCATGGTGCGCATGCTTAGCAATGCTTGAGGCTTGTGTTGCAAGAGCACGGCCCTTCTGGCCAACAAGGCACTCACCCAAAGTGGCGAGCCTTGTGAAGACTCGGCATGGAGCATGCGAGCAGCCTTTGTTCCAAGGAAGCGGATGGGAGCAAGCATGATCCTGCGGAGGCTACAGGAATCTGTAAACAATATGTATTCCTTTAAAGCTACCGCAAGGGTGTTGAAGACATTCCAAAGCGGCAACATGCCCGTGGCCGTGAGGCCCTGAACCAGATTTGGGGCCCCAGCTTCTCTGACTTCCCTAACCCTGAGAACACAAGAGAGCTGTGTGATGTGGATTACAGGGATGGTTGCGTTCTGAATTTGAGGATTCAGCATTGGCTGCTGCCCCGTGTGCAGTGGCACCGGCTTCATGCGCTTCCGCCGCCTGCCCGCACAAAGCGCAGCTGAGCCCCACATCGTGCATGAGCCCTAAGCAGCAGATACCAAGACCTTCGTAGACAAAGCGGTGCAGCCATGCGAACTCTGTGATCTCTATGCAGCCTTCCGATGCTACCTGGGAAAGAGCCTGTGCAGCATAGTCTCATGGCCACCCGCATCCGAATGCAAACCGAACTCCACCCGACACCCTAAAACCAGAGAGCAGCCATTTCCCTCTCAAAGCCAACACCCGTACTGAAAAGCACCGCAGCCAAGACCTTAAACTCCTGAGGCCACAATAATGGAACTTCGTGGCTTAGGGATTCAACTGGTTTCAAGTTTTTGCGGCATTGCATGGGAGGAACCCACGGCCTGCTCTTCATCCTCGGCTGCGGCAGGAACAGGCGCTGTCGAGGTTGGTGCCTGAACCGAGCATTTCGTGGGTTGGGATGTTTATGGAGAGCTTAGGGTGCTGGCGGCTCGAGTTCCAAGATGTTCAGCAGACATGGGGGGGGGGGGGGGTTTCCGAAAATAGGGGTTACCCTATTTTGGGGGTCCCCTTAGATGGATTCTACTCTATTTGGGGTATGAAGGGAGTACGCCTATTTTGGGAAACACCCACATAGGGCGACATGCTGAAGCCTTATGGGGCAATTGTGTAAAGGCGAGCTCGGCACTTGGTCCGTCGAAAGGCACTTGCAAGATCATGCGACACGGCCCCGGCTGCTGACAGCAACTACCCCTGGTTCTTAGTAGGGAATGAGGAAATGAGGGCCCTATAGAACCGCTTAAAGGGTATGTATATATATATATAGATATATACATATAGGGCCCACATTCCCTAATTCCCTGTACTAAGAACCAGCCAGACTATAGCTCAAGATACCCCGACAAGCCCCCGTGATCCGGAATCGATTCGAAACCCTCAAGACCCTCAAGCCCCGGAGATCTAAACTCCTCAGGATCTCACGGCATCCTGCCCCATGGGCTGTGGCAGCTTGCCATGTGCCTGCAGAGTGGCGTTGAGGCTTTTGGATGAGGACTTCACTTGGCTTCTTCGCGTCGTGCGTCAATAATACGCTGTGCAAGGCTTTATACTTCATGCGGGGTCATGACTGAACACTGGAACCCATAATTACCGAGAAGTGCCAAAGATCGCACTGACAGCGGAAGCCCATGAGTCCCCAACTCACCCACTAAATACAAGCGTCAAAATGCACTGCCTGGAACCCTAGCTCTACAAGCCTAAGCCAATGTTGAGGTGGGTTTGGGGCCTGGGAGACCCATTGAGATGCAAAAACCCTCTGAGCTTCATAGGGCAGAACTTAAAAACAAACTGCATGCCAAATCAACCCCCCCAAGATTCGGAGTCGCATCCGGCCTCGATGGTGAACTGGAGCTGCCACTCGCCGGTGACTGAAGCCGCCGGCGTTCCTCTGGAGGCCTCGGACCATGAAAGGCCAAAGCCCTGTAGACCCCCCATGTAAAGCCCCATACGTTGGGATGCTCCCCCTTATACTAGCAGTCCTTCATAGGGGATTAATGTACCCCCCTATTAAAACTCATATATGTATGTATGTATATATATATATATACATATACATGTATATGTATATGTATTTAGTCCCTATTCAGGACTCGAAGTATAGGTAAGGAGGAACATCCCAACCATATACGCTCCAACTGCCACATCCTAAACGCTGCACTCATGGCGCCGCACTCACAGCGGAGATTAAAGACTTGCCCTGCGTGTGTCTAAATTGCAGCTCTTGCCTGATTGCGGCGCTTCTTCTTGGAGAGCACCCGGGGCTCGTGGCAGCCTCTGAGGGAAAAAGCACCCTGGCTACTGAGTCTGACACTGGGTCCTATCATGCGCGTACGCGTGTGTCCTTGAGGGCCATCAGAAATTCAGACCTACTCGAGAAATCCGAAAGGAACCTAATTCACCCAAAGACTCAGCTCGTTGAGGTGGATTATAGATCCCCGTTCAGCACGTCCCATGTCATGAGGCCGGCACAGAGCATGTGAGGTTGAGAAGTGTAAGGACACAGGATTATCAGGGCTTGGAGTTGAAGAACCCCCTGGGCTCCCAACACAGCAACCACTGATACATAAACAGGCGTTTAAGGCTCCGCAGGCTGCAGGTTCCTACATCAGGGTGCTGGCCCTGTCTTCCCCCGCCTTCCGGAGCTATGAGGCCATTCTTCCAGATGAAGAGCTTGCCGGTGTTTTGCTCCTGGGGTTTGGTTGCACAGCCAACAATCGAAGCCTGAAGACCCTGAGCCTAGAACTTGGAGGAAGCCTGCTTAAGGGAGAGGCGGGGGGGGGGGGCATGTAGAGCGCACTGCAACTGCAAAAACCTGACTGCTGGTAGAAACTATGAATATGGGACCCGAAAGACGCGAACGGACTTGTGACAAGTCAAGAAGCGATTTACGGGCATTATGGGGCTCAAGATCCTCCTCCGGCGTATCGAACTGCTGCGGATCATTGCTTTGCCTGCCAGTGTGTCCAAGGGTACGGGATTCGGTGCTTTGGAATGGCTTAGGGCTTGGGAGGTACGCCCCGCAGCTAAGTCTTGTGCCAGGGGTGTGGGCGTGGGGGATGAATCATGAAACCGTCATGTGTTCATGAGCCAGGAATGCAGGGCATTTTGCATTTTGCGGCGCTTGACAGCCCTTAGCTCCAACGACAACACAGCACATCCAGCAAGCGCAGCGAAATCCCAGAAGTGTCTAATTGCAAAATTGGAGACCAGATCCGAGCATCGCAAGCCAAGCTGGGTCTGCCTGAAGTTGGACCCTCAAGCACCTTACAGTACAGTTCAACCTTGCCAGGGCAGAACTCCCCCCCGCTCCCTGGGAACCTCGGGAAGTCCATGAGGATGAGCCGATCCGCCTTCAACGGTAGGTTGGGGACTCGGAACCACCTTCGCATCGCAGCTGGGTTGAAAGAAAGCTTGGCCACTGCGTGTGGCGAACAAACTCGTCCACTAATTTCGGGGGTTCCGGAGGGCTGAAAGGGATTGGGCTTAGAAGTGCGATGATGGGGAAGTGTTTCTACAAAATAGGGAGGGGATTTGAAGAAAGGTGGAAGGGAGTTCTCCTACCACTGCTGCTTCCTGCAGCCAAAAGCGCGCCTGAACAGATTCAATTTTTTGCAGCTGAATGGTGGAAGACAATGGCAACCTTCCAATACCAAAGCTTCAGTGGCTACTCCACTCTGACGATGTCATTGAGGCTGCGACAGGGTCAGCGAGTAGCCTCAGTTGCACTCCAGCTTTCCACAATGACCGTGAATCTCGCAGTAGCAAGATTGCAGACACCCTAAACTTTGAGCCTTAGCGCCCCTAACCAAGCATGCGCTGCGGCAAAGTCGCAGTTCAAACGGCCACCTGCCATACCACGCAGCTGGAGTTCCTTGACCTGGGCTACACAGCAGGTTCAGACACCACGTGAGCGACCGTTCAAACTCTATATGAATGACGGGCCTAGGTCGCGCAACAGACCATTTTCCACGTCGTGAAAATCGGTCCAGAGATGAGGGTCAAGAATGCAGGCCGACGCTTCAGTCGCCATGCTGACTCAGCATGTGAAACCCTGGGATCTGAATGGTCTCGATGCTTGGTGACTAGGCTCGTTGGCTATAGATGGTCTAAGTTTCGTACTGTTGGAAATCATGCAACAATCAATTGCACAACAACAGTAATTGTAGCAGCAGGGAAGTATACACACCCAACGACAGTTGCAAAGTCCGAAACCAAAAGTTGCAATCAACAAATTCTAACCGGTGCCTGTGCCACTACCCAACGGACCAAGCTCCGCACGACAAGTCCTGCAATGATGGCAGCAGTGACTGCAGCTAAGCAGCACGAATTTGCAGAACATTAAAGGTTTCTTTGTCATCTCCTTAATCATTTAGACACAAAACATGCATTCACGATGTCGTCTGGGGCGCATCTTGCTTGGGGTCCGACACTAGCGCGCTGTAATTACTTTGGAACAATGAACGTGGACTCCACATGCCGCTTCCAGCTTGCAAATTGACAACTTCCATAGAGGCGCTAAGGCTGGATGATATCTGCCAGCTGAGGCGGCCAATCGGATCCCAAACGCTCCGAAACATGCGGACCGTGAAATTCTCGGTTCCCAGCTTCGCATGCTACCGGCTTCTTGCTAACACAAGCTCGAAGAGCAGAATCTTCAAACCCGATGTGCAAGACCTGAATCAATCAAATCCTCAATCTGAGCATCTTGGGGGCTTCCGAAATTCGGGGTACCTTACTGGGGTCCTTATTTTAAGGGAATCTACTTGGGAGGGAGGTCGATCCCATGTCCTGCTCCAGGCTCAAGGAGGCAGTAGCTCTTGCCGGAGGAGCCGTAGAGTTCCGGCACCTGCACTAGGAAGGGGGGCACCAAAGCCTCTAAAGCAAGCCTGGGGAGCACATGCAGGTTGCTCAAAAAATGGGGGGGGGTCCCTGCAGTAGCTCAGCATGTAGGGCCATCCTGACCCCTGGTGGTTCTTGCCCTCAGGGTTTAGGGTCTAGGGTTTGGGGTCTAGGGTTTAGGGTTCAGGGTTTGGGGGGGGGGGGGGGGGTAACCCTACCCTAAACCCCAAACCCTAAACCCTAAAACCCCCTGGACAACCATGACATGTGCCCCTAAGGGGCACAAGCTCGACGATGCCCAAGGCGTAGGTCTCCTTCGGGAGCCGCGCTGCCTCGGGTGTGAGGAAGAGGGGCTGGGTTTAGGGTTTAGGGTTTACCGTTTAGATTAGGGCTTAGGGCTTAGGGTTTAGAGTTTAGGGTTTAGGGGAAGAGGGGAAGAGGGGCGTGGTTCTTGTGGAATCCCTGGAACAGCCGAACCCCCACCCCAGCCCAAACCCCTGCCGTTTTACACCTCAACCCCCCAAAACCCCACACAACTCAAAGTCCCCAGGCTCAAACCCCTGCTGAGGCGCCTGGAAGTTGTACTCCGTCCAGCCTTCGCCACTTTCGGGATTTTGGCCCAGCTCCTCCTCGATGAGGACCTGGCCCCAGGGTCAGCGCTTCGGAATGTAGATCTTTTCCGGCTTTAGGGACGGAGAGAGCCTGCTCTAAGTGTTTAGAGGTGATGTAGAGGCTCAGGGTTTAGAGAGCCTTAGGGGCTGAGAGGTGAGCGGGTTGAGGGCTCTGTCTCAAGAGGTCCCCTGACCCCTCTAGTGCCGACGCCCTTGGGCCCTTGCTCCTCCAGTGACCCCTCAACCCTAAACCCTAAACCCTAAATCCCAAACCCTTGTATTGGGGGTCCATTGAATTGGGGCCCTTCATCGGCGAACTGGCTGAGCCAGGCCCACCTCGATGCCCTCCTCCTCTTCGGCCTTAAGGCGCTCCTCATCCGCTTCCGCCTCTATCAAGCTCAACGTGAACATCCGCTTCAGGGAAAGAGGAAGATCATATTCTGTTTGCTCCAATACTTGAGGGCACGCTTTACCACGCCGCTTGGAACAAAAACTCTGCCTAGCGAAAAGCAAACTCGGGTTGGCAGAGTTGACTTCAGGGCTCGGGGTACGATCCCGAAACGTAGCAGACTTGCCCGAAACGTAGCAGACTTGCCCGAAAACGTAGCAGAGTTAGATGAAATGTCGAACATGAACCTGGCCATGACCGGGTCTTAGGCCAACTATCGCCGAACGTTCCCCTACCTTTCAAGGCTCGAGATTTTTCAAGGTTTCCAATGGTGCCGCCCAAGTTCGTGTTTGTTGGGTGCCCTAACTTCCCCCTCCCCCGTTTAGGGTTTAGGGTTTAGGGTTTAGGGTTTAGGGTTTAGGGTTTAGGGTTTAGGGTTTAGGGTTTAGGGTTTAGGGTTCCCCCCCCCCTCACAAAATACAAAACATGAAACTCAGATCCTGACTCCACAACCAGGCCTTGCGTTGCTTGGCCTTTCTGAGGTGCACCTCCTGCTCAACCTGCCAAGAAAGCTGTGCCCCTTAGAACTGAGCTATAATAGAGAGTTTAGGGTTTGGGGTTTAGGGCTGTTACATTGATTTCACATGCCCAAGGTCAGCAGTTAAAGCACGAATTGAAGTTACAAATTATGTCCCGCACATCTTGTTTCTAATCTGCTCTGATGACACACGCCATTCCCGGGCCCATCAACAGTTAGGCCATCAAACAATCAGAGGCTCAGGTTGAGACACATTCCCCGGTTTTCCTGTTGCTCACTCTTTTTTCCTCGTTCGGAGGAACCTTGCAAAATGCCGTTGAGGGTTCGCGTCAGGTTGAGCCGGGTTTAGGTTCCCAAGCAGATGTCAAGCCTCATGATGCCCCATGCCGCACCTCTGCCGCCTTGACAAGATCACTGGTTTGCCGTTTCCTTGGGAGTGCCACGCGTGCGTCACGGCAAGTCCGAGCTTGAAGCAAGCTGCCACTCCGCATCATGAAGTGCGGCAAGCTCCTTTCTACCCTCACTTGCTTCAATATGACAATCTCGGCTTGGCCCCCGGCAGCGGCTGCCTCAGATCCAGGATCATCGCGAATGGCGCAGGCTGTTTATAGGGCAATTAAAAAATGAAAACGAAGGAAACATGTAAATTTGACGACGCCGAGGCACTTCACCGGCACCGACACGGGGACGGCATGCGCTCGAGGCTTCTTGGCTGGGCCGATGGAGTCCGGCAGCGTGCTATGGCCTGCCCATGCGCAGCACTCTTCCCCGTGCCTCTTATCAAGTATCACACTTTCACTGTTCTTGCTGTTGCCCGTGTTAATATTTTTTAATACAATCATTTCCAGTATCCTCATGAATCTGAGAGACCCCAAGGCAGGGCCACGCGGTCTACGCGGCCTGAGATGCCACTGGCCAGGAGGTTGTTGACTTGCGTCTTCACAAAAGCCAGGAACCTTACACATTTCAGCGGAGCATCTAAGGGCTTCTGGGGTTTGCGGGTACGGATCAAGGAAGGACCCCCTAAGACCCGAACAATCCCAAACTGCAAAGGCTACCCTTGGAATCAGCTTCGGGGAGGCTGTCAGCATGTGGCTCGAACATCCTGAAGCCTAAGCTCTAGAAACTGCATACTGCATAACAAGAAGACTTCGTGGGCGCTCCATGGATGTCATAGGGGATTGTCGGAACCTGTGAGCACATGCTTGAAAAATGATTATTTGAAGGGTTTAACGCCTTGTGATTCCGTCAAAGCCTCAATGACGCAAACTGCATAGAACTGGCCATCAAGACTAGTCGACAAGCAGCGGTTTGAGTTCCTTCTGCCTTTCGTCTCAAGTCTTGAAAAGAAAAGCCGCCAAGGAGCTCCTGATTGTCCACGCAGTAGTCCCCGTTCTCGTCAATCGCCTCAACCTTGGTTTCGCCACGCTCTTCCCCAGCGATGCAAACGCGCTCCGGGGCGCTACGAGCCCCGGGCTTGGGTTTTTTGACACGGCTTCCATGGCCTCTTACTGGGTTGCGGACCTTAAACCGAGTGACCAGAAGAAGGAAGCTAAGGTTTCTTATAGGTTAGGTTCAGATTATACTCAATTAAGCTCCTTGAGAGCAACGCAGCTGAACCTCCGAACCCCTAAGCATCCCTGTAAGTAAACCCTCATGACGCCGGGTGCAGCGCCCAATTGGCAACCTCCTCGGCAGTGAAGGCGAAGCCCAGGTCCTGGGTTTGCCAGCGCCAGGGGCTTCTTCAGGGCTTTAAAGGTTGGAGGGTTTGGGGGTGTGGATATGGGTTCGGTGTGCCATGCAAGGCGAGTAGAACACAATCGCGAGTGTCTTGTGCGGATCTTGTAGGGCCTTTTAAAGTGTTGAGAGCGCAGCTGTGTGTGATGTTCAGCAGATCCGACAGTACGTCGGCGTTGGGATGCTGAGGCTGCACACACGCAGTCTACGGACAGCTGTACAAAACACAAACTGGCGGGATCTGCAGTCAATGTTGGCGGGCTGAACGTTCGGAAGAAATGCCTGAAGAGACACCACGAACACACGCGCAAACTTCCGGCAGCAAATAAACTGAAACGCTCACCCCCTTTGACGCATTCTTGGCGAGCAGGTGTGGCTAAGTTTCCGAATGCGTATATGGCCGGGCTGCGAGTATCACTTGTGTGCTTTCTTAATAAGGTTTTGAGGTGGAGAGCTGCACCGTTCCCCATGAGGCTCGGAGTCCACCGCACTGCGCGGGACAAGGCACGCAACTCTCACCTTCTCCCTTTCTCTCTCACCCTCTCCCTCCCTCCCTCGCTCCCTCCCTCCCTCCCTCTCTCCCTCTGTCTGTCTCTGATCTCTCTCTCGTGCGGGTACTTGCCACATTGCTGGTGCTTCAGGGAGGCGGGCGAGGATACTTCCGAACCCCAACATGCCCTGGAGTGCCAAGCTGACTGCAAGGTTCCACGCAGCAAAAAACCCCACAAACAAAACAATCAGGTGGCTTTCACATTGGGGCTTCGGGTTTCCGGCATCGCACAAGGCCCTGGCGTGCAAAGCGCGGCAGAACCTCACCAGTTCTCTCTGGGCCGAGGGCTTTGGGATGGTTGTGCCATGTTGTGCCCTAGGTTCCTCCTGGTAGCATAAGAATAAGAAGGGTGCCCCCCTTTTGTTGTTTAATGGGGCTTGGCAAGGGAACCTAAGCCACCCAAAAAATGCAGGGGAATGAACGGAACAGCGGGGCTCCTAGGCTCAGGTTTGCAGGCTCCCAGACCTCAATTTTTAACTTTAGTGCTTCAAGGCTTTAGGACTTTCCGGATTTCGGGGTTCAGGGCTTGGGGATCTACGGGGCTTATAAGGGGTCAAGGGAGTGTATAGAGAGATTGCAGGGTGCGGGGCTTCCAGGGTTCGCTTTTCGGGTTGCAGGATTTTGGGGGCTTTTAGGGGTGCAAGGAGTTCGACTTAGGGTTTGCAGCTTTTGTAGGCGTAGGACATTTTGGGGGCTTGGGGCTTGAGATGTTACGGCTTTGTGATTTTGGTGTTTAGGGTTCTGGGTCAGGTCGGCACTTTACAGGTTCTTACACGAAGCATGCACATACATCGCGTGCACCCCCAGAGAAACCCTACAGCCCCAAGTCTTGACCTTGAGCTGTGAGCCAAGAATGCATCTTTGCCACTCACCCTAAACCCTAAACCCCGAACCCTAAACCCTAAACCCTGAACCCTAAACCCGAAAACCTAAACCCTGAACCCTAAACCCGAAACCCTAAACCCTGAACCCTAAACCGTGCAGCCATCTGTGGGCATTGCATGTCATGTATGTCGGTGGTACGTATACACAATTAAACCCTACCCCTCCTAAACCCTAAACCCTAAAGCCTAAACCCTAAACCCTAAACCCTAAGCCCACGTAAGCCAAGGTTTATGAACCTCGAGCTCATCTTCCACAAAAAGAAGCCCCCCACCCCACATAAAAGAAGCCCGAGGGGCTCCATCGGCTCCAGGAGCCCCGAGTTGTCCATGTCGTACTTCTGGAAGGCCGCCTCTGCGGAGCGGAGCTTTTTTTTTTTTTTTGGGGGGGGGGGGGGGGGGGGTGGGTGGCTTAAATAGGGTCTATTTGGAAGCTGGGACTCGGGTTTTCTTATAGCCATACACGTTTCCACGAGGGTACGCTGCTGTCACGTCAGTCGTACTATGGAGGCCTCAGGAACAAGAACCAGGTAGTTCCTCTTTTCTCTTCTCTTTTTCTCCTCAATCCTAAAGTCGAAGGCTCTCGTGAGGAGAAGAGAAGGGAGAGAAGGAGGGAAAGATAAGAGGAACACGATTTTCATGGGAAGAGCCAAGAAAAGAATAGAAGAGAGATAAAACAAGGCGCAAAGAAGATGGTACTCTTCTTTATCTATCCTCTCTCCCTTATCTCTCCGTTCCCTCTGTCTTTTCGAAATGAGAAAAACAAAAAGAAAGATGAAAAGAAGAAGGGTTAGGAAAAGAGCCGAAGAGATAGGCCGAAAAGAGGGGTATGGTGAAGTACGGCAAAGGTCCACGCACAAGGAGTCACCTTCTGCTTACCCTTCCACTGCTTGATTTTACAAGCTCCTTTCTTGTGTTTTATCAGTTAAAATTAAAAGGAAACAGAAGGAGAGAAGGGAAAGGGAAGTGAGAGAGGAGAGACAACAAGGAGGCCATTTTAATTTCCTGTGAGTTATCAAAAGGAATGCAATATTATGGGAAGAGCAATGGAAAAAAAGAGTGGAAGAGAAATTAAGACAGGAGAGGGAGGTGCAAAAATAAGGCAAAGAGAAGATGGTGCCGTTTTCATCTCACCTCTCGTTCTTATCTTCCTCTTCTCTGGTTCTTTTCCCTGTGAAATAAAAAAACAAAAGGAAGGACAATGAACATATAAAGGAACCCGTTTTCGTTTTCCGTTTGGGCACAAGGAAAAAAACAGAGGCGATAGGGCGAGAGGAGGGGTTTGCTGAAGCATGGGGAGGGTGTACGGGCAAGGGGCCAACTCCGCCCACTTCCCCCATCCATTGAAAGAGGAAAAGGAACAGGGCCTCCATTCCCCTCTTATTCTTCCTTTCTTGCGTTTTTGTCGTTTAGAAGGGAACAGGAGAAGAGGAGGGAGAGAGAAGGAGAGAGGAGACATAAAAAGGGTTGCATTTTTAATGGGAAGAGCAAAGAAAAGACCAGAAGAGAGATGATGGGAGAAGAGGGGGAGACAAAACAAGGCGCACAGAAAATGGGCAGATAAGAAGAGAGGAAAGGGAATGACCAAGTACAATGAGGAGTTCTTCAATTTCCCTCCCTATCTCTTATGTTACTTTTCCTTCTTGTGGGGTGTCCCTTTTTCTCTTGAAGATGCAGAAAACGATTGAAAAGGACACCCGTTCCATCGCCCATATGTAGGGAAAGAGAGAGAATCATGAGCATCAGCTGGGCTTGCTGCCAATCCAACATGGGCGTCCCTTTTAATCGCATTCTGTGTCCTTTTTTCTCGCTTGAAGATGCAGAAAACGATCCAAAAGCACATCTGTTGGAGGAAGAGAGAAGGAGAGAGGAGAGATACCAAGGATTGCATATTTAATGGGAAGAGCAAGGAAGAGAATAGAAGACAGATGAATAGAGAAGATGGCGCTCTTCTTTATCTATTCTCTCTCCCTTGTTTCTCCCTTCCCTCTTTCTTTTCGAAATGAGAAAAACAAAAAGGAAGAACTATGAGAAGGAGAAGAGTAAGGAAAGGAACAGAAGAGATAGGCCGAGAGGATGAATATGATGGAGTATTATGGAAAGGCTCACGCGCAAGGAGTCACCCTCTGCTTACCTTTTCACTGCTTTATCATATGAGTTCCTTTCTTGTGTTTTATCAGTTAAAAGGAAGCGGAAGAAGAGAAGGGAAAGGGAAGTGAGAGAGGAAAGATAACAAGGATGCTATGTTTCCCGAAGCGTGCTGCAAGGAATAGAAGAGACAGGAAGCAAGGAGACGGAATCACAAAATAAGGCGCAAAGCTGTACATATCATCTCTCCCTTGTCTCTCCCTATTCCCTTTCGAACTAGAAAAAACCATTCTTGCTTTTCACAGATAGGTTCCCTCTCTCCTCTTCAGGAAATCCCCTTTCCCTTATGTTGCTTTTTGAAGCGAATAAGAAAAATAGCAGATAAGAAGAGAGGAAAGGGTCAATTTCCCTCCCTATCTCTTATGTTGCTTTTCCTTCTTGTGGGGTGTCCCTGTTTCTCTTGAAGATGCAGAAAACGATTGAAAGGACACCCGTTCCATCGCCCATGTGTAGGGAAAGAGAGAGAATCATGAGCATCAGCTGGGCTTGCTGCCAATCCAACATGGGCGTCCCTTTTAATCGCAGTCTGTGTCCTTTTTTCTCGCTTGAAGATGCAGAAAACGATCCAAAAGCACATCTGTTGGAGGAAGAGAGAAGGAGAGAGGAGAGATACCAAGGATTGCATATTTAATGGGAAGAGCAAGGAAGAGAATAGAAGACAGATGAATAGAGAAGAGGGAGAGACAAAACAAGGCGCAGAGAAGATGGCACTCTTCTTTATCTATTCTCTCTCCCTTGTTTCTCCCTTCCCTCTTTCTTTTCGAAATGAGAAAAACAAAAAGGAAGAACTATGAGAAGGAGAAGAGTAAGGAAAGGAACAGAAGAGATAGGCCGAGAGGATGAATATGATGGAGTATTATGGAAAGGCTCACGCGCAAGGAGTCACCCTCTGCTTACCTTTCCACTGCTTTATCATATGAGTTCCTTTCTTGTGTTTTATCAGCAGAAGAGAAGGGAAAAGCAAAAATTGAGCCCAACATTTTAGGACCAGGGCTTGCGATCTGACTCTTTGGAGCAAAAATCGATTCCAAAATCTTAGGGACCAGGGCTTGCGATGTTACTCTTTGGAGCAAGAAATGAGCCCAAAATCTTAAAGACCGGGGCTTGCGATTTCACCTTTTGGAGCAAATACTGGGCCCAAAATCTTAGGGACCAGGGCTTGCAATTTGACTCCGTGGAGCACAAA